GGGGGGGGGGGGGGTGCGCGGCTAGGCGCGCGTCATGCCATAACGCTGTCAGCCGCCGAGGCGAACGCATCGCGGACGCTGCCGCGTTATTTTCTAAATTATTTTGCGCCGATATTTAATACCGCATTTTGACTTCGCCATAATTGAGGCAATAATTAACACAATTTGAGACGCGAGCAGGTGTTGTGGGCTTTACCGTAGTGGGTAATTACCGCGTTTCATTAATTTTTTTACTTGTTAGATAGAAAAACGCGATCGAGTTCCTTAATGCCAATCAAATATTATCATCATCCATTATTCGAATATTATTATTTCCTTATTCGATTGTCATTTAATTATTTATATATATTTATTATATTTATTTATTGCGTATTGGGAAGCAACTCGAGCGTGCCGTTATGACGATTTCCTTACCTCTTCCTGCTGTCGTGTGTAATTAATTGATACTACCGGATATCATTATATGTCGATCAAATATATATATATATATATATATATTATAATATCATCATATATTAATATTAATTGGGTATTATTATTTCTTTATTCAGCTATAATTTAATTATTTCTTATTGCGCATTGGGAAGGAACTCGAGCGTGCCGTTACGAAAATTTCTTTTCCTCGTTTTGCTGTCGCGTGTAACTAATTGATACCAAATTATCAACTTACTAAATTAAATTTCTGTCACAAAGCAGACGCAGTCACGCGGCTCTAGGAGATGCGATGTCTGGGGGATATCGCGATGGAGGATTCGGCTCGAGCTTGTCTGAGTCGGCTCGAAGGTGAGCTTCACTAATTTGTACTTACAATTAGAAATTCGACAAAATTGAAAATTTTCTTGCTTGGAATCGAGTTCCTTAATACCTCTATCTTCGTGTAATTAATTAATACTCAATTAAATTTGTTTTTTGTTGCAGAGACGAACACTCGACTCTAAGAGGATGCTGCGCCGGAGGATCTGGCTCGGGCCTGGCAGAGTTGGCGCGAAGGTGAGTTTTACTAATTTGAATTCATAATTCCGATAAATCCGATAACACTGGAAATTCTCTTGTTT